AGGCCCTGACATGAAAAATATGAAACAATTCAATTGAGAAAATAAATGGCCTAATTTATAACAAAATAATTTACGAAAAACAAATATTCTAGGGTAGACCTGTCAGAATCAGTTCTAAGGTAGAACTGTCAACAACTGATCTTGGATAGAATTGTCTTAAACCATTCTAGGGTAGAACTGTCTTAATCCGTTCTAGAGTAAACTGTCAGAATCTGATCCTGGTAAGAACTGACTAAAATTGATCTATGGTAAAACCCCAAAGGTGTCAGGAGAACAGTTCACATGACAAGTGCCTTACAAATTTTAAGGCCGGTTAAAAATGATTCCAACTGTTTGTACAAAACAAAGAGACGACCTATTCTTCAAATTAGTAATCATAGTAAAATCTTTTAAAGATAGTCATTTGTTAAAGTATTTTCCCGTATATTTTTGAATACCAAAACAGACATTTTGTTTAAATATGTTGATATTGAAAGTTCAGGTAACAATTAATTAGCCGACCGGAATGCTTGCAAACTTGTGGAAAATAAGTACAGTTCGGGACATTGTATCATGTTCATGGCTACCTGGAATAGTTGAAAATAAGTACAGTTCGGGACATTGTATCATGTTCATGGCTACCTGGAATAGTTGAAAATAAGTACAGTTCGGAACATTGTATCATGTTCATGCAAACATGTGGAAATAAGTACAGTTCGGGACTTTTTATCATGTGCATGCAAACATGTGGAAATAAGTACAGTTCGGGACATTGTATCATGTTCATGCAAACATGTGGAAATAAGATAAGTTCGGGACATTGTACATGTATCATGTTCATGCAAACTTGTGGAAATAAGTACAGTTCGGGACATTGTATCATATTCATGCAAACTTGTGGAAATAAGTACAGTTCGGGACATTGTATCATGTTCATGGCTACTTGGAATACTCTAAGAAAAAAAACGCTGCATTTGTATGCACCTGTCCTAAGTCAGGAGCCTGTTGTTCAGTGGTTGTCGTTTGTTGGTGTGGTTCATAGGTGTTTCTCGTTTCTCGTTTTTTGTATAGATTAGACCGTTGGTTTTCCTCTTTGTATTGTTTTACACTAGTCATTTTGGGGCCCTTTATAGCTTGCTGTTCGGTGTGGGCCAATGCTTCGTGTTGAAGGCCGTACTTTGACCTACAATTGTTAACTTTCTATACATTGTGACTTGGATGGAGAGTTGTCTCATTGGCACTCATACCACATCTTCTTATTTATTATGACAAAAGCGTTAAATTTGTATGAACATGATCATTTCCATTTTTATAATAATGCAACAAAACTTCTAATGCAATTACTTAGCAGAACTTCCCATTCTAACTGTTTCTTATATTAGTCTTGCTCATACAAATTATGTTATTATTTCAGACAATATGAAATTATTTTATAATAATTTGACAGCTCAATTACATAAGTATAATCTTTACACCTTCATCAATGTTTTTTTCTCTTTTCAGGGACCTGTCGTCGAACAACATAACTTCTATATGCAATAAAACGTTTACCGGACTAACCAATGTAAACGAAATGTAAGCGTGATATACTATACTGTATATTCCTATATTTTCATTGACACCAGTATTCCAAGATTAAGTGGCGCGGGGGGATTCGATGTTACAAGATTATTTTTTTTTGGACACTAAAATTTGTTGTTCACTTATACACGAGAAGTCCACGAAAATTACTACTCAACTAATATAATGCGTCCACAGTATTATTAGATTGAATATGTTCCGTATAAAAATATGTATTCACCACGGATGTTCATTGTTTCCTTACATTTAGTTATTTTTTTTTAACATGATCAAATTAAACAACGTTTTGGAATATGCTTTCAATTAATTACCCGATATGGTGTTGATAATGCTACGGACAAACGTATCATGCATTGTATTTATCACGTGACTCACCATGTTTAGCTACCTAAGATGACGTATTTAAAGGTAATTCTTCATATCATACTACTGATAAAGGTTTTACATATGGTTTAGACTATGACAGTTTGTTTTCTTTCACTATACATGCTATACTCTGCAGATGAACGTTCGATTATTTTACATTATATCATCTTGTTTTTTTTAATAATTTAGATTTTTTTTTAATTTATTTATAGTATTTAGGTGCAGAAATGAAAAACTACAGTTTATATCAGAAAACTTCATCAATATTAAAGTCAAAGTGTTAGTCGGAAAATATCTATAGAACTTTTAAAAACAAGTTGAACATTAAGATTACATCATATCTTTATGCAGCATTACTTCAAACTCTCATTCCGGAAATTCTAAAGATTACATAATCTAGTACAAAATAACTACCGCGTCCATTTATTTTTATCCTTCCTCCCACTGTTTACTGATGAGGCTTGTAGAAAATACGAACGAATACGATGATATATCGTACAGAATCCTTATAGAAGAAAGAATATGTTCAGTTAAACTATGCACAAAACAAATTAAACACAAAACTTTATAAAACTTTAGTACATTTTGTCCGATTAAATCTTTATCGCCTATCTTTTCCCATTGATCTTTCCTTGGTCTACTAACTTATCATTGTCCACTCAAAACCTTAAAGCTCGCTGCCTTATTACCTCATCCTTTTTTTTCTTTAAAAATAATTGAAAATAAAGAACTGTAAAGTTTATTTTTGCACATTGAAATCAAAATTATAAAGAAAACAGCTACTTTAATAAACACGCGCGTGCACCCCATTTTAAACGAATAAACGGAAGACTCAAAACAAATTAACCTAAATAGACATCTGGAGGTAACAGTATGGTCTTAGCGATGACCGAATGACCACAGACACAAATGTCACGAAATTCGTAATGAAAAAAAAAACGATAACTGAATCAAACTTTAAACTGTCTTTTAAAAAATAGTGCGGTTAGACTAGTTGGTATGCAACTCAAAGAAAGAACTTGACTATGCGAACGAATACACTTTTCTTTAATATGTAAACAATTTTTTTAAATGGTTTGTATATATATCTGATAAATTAATAACAGACACCTTTTCACTGAAAACAAAATTTTAACTATCGTATATTTTTGCACATTGACAGAAAACACATGAGCAACCCTTTTTAAACGAATAAGCGAAATACCCAAGCATAATTTAACAAAAATAGATGACATCTAGAGGTAATCATACGGCCTTATGCGATGTCCAAGTGACCACAGACATTCATTTATGTATACAAATTCTTATAAAAGGAAAAACTATGTAAGCGACAACTGAATCACACCATTAACAACCCCTTAAACATATGGCGAGGTTAGACTGATTGTGAGGACTCAGAATGAGCACTTGACATTTTTCAAAATGTATGTCATCTTCGAAACAAATAATTACAGATATTATAAATCTATAACAGGAACCCTTTCACTGGATACACAGATTTGACCATCGTTCCTGGTTTTTGAATTTCTATTCTACTTTTACCAATTCATTACAGTTAACAACAACATTTATACACTTACAATTTTTTAACAATTTTCATATTGAAGAAATAATCCAGTTTCTTGTAATCGAATGAATCGCTCATTACTTAGGCATTTCTCTTGGTCCATATTTTTCGTCAATCTATTAAATCAATAACTGGTTATAAAGGTTAAAACTTATGTAATTCAAAACGAGATGATCTACTCGTCTTTTAATTTTTCTAATTGTAATTTATCAGGCCAAACAAGTCGATTCAAACACGCATGAATGTAAAAGGTGTGCACGATTTACTTATTTGGCGTATATCTACGATTGAAATGTTAAGTGTAAAATTTACAAAGTTATAGCAGGTGCAAATGATTGTTGATCTTAAAACTGCATCCTCATAAATTCTATTTTTACTAGAAGATAGGCGATAGTTATAAGTTTCATGAGAAAATACGATTGTTAAAATGTATTTTGTAAGGGAGCTACCATTTAATTTTTATGGGGTGGGGGGCTAGGATGAAAAATTTTGTCCTGCATTTTTTTTAGTTGTAATCTCTGTCCTGCCTTTTTTTCCCTCTATTCGGTCCTGCCTTTTTTTTATTAGTTTATCCTGACTTTATTTACCCCATCCCCCCCATTAAAAATCAAATGGTAGCTCCCTAACCGAGTCCCTGTGAACATATACCATATGGTGTCCTCTGGCTATCCCAACATTTTGAAATTTCCTAATCTATTTAAAGTAAAGAGAATGCGTTCAAATTTTTTTAAGGGAAAATACCTTTAAAACTTTTGATTAAATAATAAATAATATTTACTCTTTGTTTCTAGGAAAACACATTTCGAGATGTTACAATTTTAGCGTTCATAAACCAATTGCATTATTCAAAAGGACGAGAGAATTAAATTAACTGATCGTAACTAACACTACTGGACGAAAAAACAACTGTCCATACCAGTAACAGTCGTTCTACGACTGTCTTAGTCTGTGGAAGACTGAAGATGACTGTCAAAGAAACTGATACAGTTGATTAATGTCTGTCCCAACACTTTTATGGGTTGTGAAAATCAAAATATGTTATCAACAGTCATTTAAGGACTGTTGCAGTGGTCTACGGGGTTGTCACAGTCAAATACTATTTATTACAGTCTTTCCAAAAGTTGTGGCAGTTGTATAATGTTTGTCCCAACCTTTTAATAGTTGGGACAGTTGAAATTTGTTTGTGTCAACTTTTTAGACGTTGATGCAGTCAAAAAATGTTTGTTACAACGTTTTTAGAGTTGGGACAGTTGTAAAATGTTTGTTAAAACTTTTTAAAGGTTGTTACAGTCATAAAATGTTTATTACAAATTTTAAAAGGTTGCTACAGTCGTTAAATGTTTAAAACAAACATTTCATAGGTAGTTGCAGTCGACAAATATTTTAGCGTCACTGTAGCAACTCAGTGTATAAAAAAAAATTACGTTTCACCCGGCTCTCAAGATTTGATATAGTTGTGAAATAGCCCATAATTTATACTATTATAATCTATTGTGCGGTTGTTGACTTGTTTTGTTTTTTATTTTATTTATTTTGCGATCGTTGTTTGTCTTTTGTCGTTTTCCGTTTATTGCCATAGCATTGTCCGTTCATTTTTGACATGTGCGTTTTACTTTCCTTTAGGTATCTTTACTTTTTATTTTATCTATTCAGATTCGTTCATAACTGGTTTTACACACCAGAAGCCTTCGTTTAAAAATGGAGTTTTAATATTATTGCAGAAGATGCTAATGAATTCATTCAAATTTATATTTGAAAAAGTTTTGATAAATTCTGAGGAATAGAAAATGTACCGTCGGTGTACCTGAAGTAAATTTAAAGAATATGACTAAGTTATCAATATTGTACAGCATAATAAAACATTTTTAATTTGAATTACTCTCCATGAGGAATATTTTCCGATGATAAAAAAAATAATTAATTAAATCTGTCAAGTTTCTTTAAAAACGGAAAACAATTCTTCACCGTGGACGATTTACCCTCTTTATTTTCTTGTCGGCAAACTGGACCTGGAGGTCGGCAAACTATATTTTACACAGGAAACTACAGATGTTAGACCACATGTACAATATAAGCGGAGCTGGAAATTACAATCGGTGAGTAGAAATGAATAATATTTTAAAGCATGTTTATCGAATAATCATGGATCCAAGATTTTGAAGGGAAAATGTGCACATTTGTTCTTCCTTCAGACAGACTATGAATCGACGATCTATATCACCACACTCGTGCATAGTTGCATGTTCCAAGGCAAAGTTAGGATTTGGGCTTGGAAAAGTTGTGCATCATTGAAATTCATGTTTGACACCATTCCCCTTCCCCCTTTTATCATGTGTATGTCATTTAATCCCTTATTTACTTTGCATACATCACCCCAAGGGTGACAAGGTCAAGGGAATAAAAAAAGGTTACTCTTGATCTTCATCGTCTTACTGTTAAACTCTAACATGTTGGGCATTGGTTAACTTTTGTTGTGCGGGATGACCTTTTACAGGACCTATACATCATGTACATATTGTATGTTAATGTATTGTTAACTCTGGTCTTAAATTTGCATGAAATACTTGTCACTGGACGTCTTATAACCAACAACCAACCAATCTTTACATGTACATATCCATATAATTGTGTTACTAATGCTGGATTACAAGTATTTCCCTGGTTTTGCTTTATCAGCTGATAGTTTTCGTTCTATTAAGAATGCATTGTGACGTCACAATTTCCATTGAAAAAACATGCATAGTACAACTTAATATGACGGTGTATGAAAACATATGATCTGACCATAAAATTTTATGAAAAGTATTAATTTTAGTGACTTATTTAGCAAGTATGCATTTTCATTCAATTTTTAAATAATTCCCAAATCATGGACTACAAAACATGAATATATTTGATAATATAAGGCATTGAAAGTGAATATGTATTAGCATTGATTAGATGGTTCAAAATAACATTAATCATCAAAATAAAACAATATTATTAAATTAATGTTCCTGAAACCATGCACAGATTCAAAACAGTTGCCATTTAAACACAGTTGATTAAACAAAATGTGCTAATTCAATTAGTAATTCTTTCATCATGTACTTAAAGATTCATATTGAACAAGGGTTGTGGAGGTTGTTGCATCTTTTCTCAAAATGAATAATTACAATGAATAAAATATCTATAAATATGTCATCATGTTAATTGCTACATGTACATGATTTTAAGTTAAAAAGAAATAAAAAACATATTAAAAGAGCAAAGTGAGCATCATAATTATATTCTTTTTAGATTTAACATAGAATATTAAATCACTATAAATTTGTAAATACTTTGAACCTAAACTATATATTTTCATGTGAAATTTTTATATAAATTGTGCCCTCTGGTTAGTCAAATTCATTTATGCCATAAATGTTTTCTAGTAGTAACATTCAAGGGTCTTTTTATTTATTCCACCATTAAAATGATTAAAGGACTTTCTATTCATGAGTCAAATTTGTGTGTTAAATTGTGTTTTGGTTACTTTATTGTTGCCTTACTGTTGGGTTGATGCATCATTGATATATAATTATATCCCACATCTCCTTTCATCATGTGCATTCACATCTGACTGCAGATTTTTTGCTTTTTCTACATAATTATTTTATGTTTAACATTCAATATGTGGGGAAAACATAACAAAAATATCTATCTGTAAGCATATTTTTTTTTTATCTAAACATGGTATAAACTTTTTTAAAGTATTTTATGAAGCTCAAAATATTTTTATAGATATTGTAGTATCAAGTAAGTTGTCATAAAATTTACTGTGTTAACTGCATTGTATGTCCAATAATTTAGTTTAAAAATACCTTTTATTCAAATTCAAAATAAATAATTAAAATTTATGTATTTACTGAACATGAATTCATGACCATGCAAATGTGACATTAAAATAGGTAATAATCAGGATGTTAACACTGGATAGGTAATAATCAGGAATTCTTATATACATGTTATAGCTAATATACAGATTAAGACACACAATAGTTTATTGCCTTGGGGAGGAATTTTAAACTGTCATGGGTATATATTGAAGATGATTTTATAATGATGTTCACAAATTATAATTGTCCTCTTCAAAATTTTGATAAATATTTCAAAATAAATTGTAATTTAAGAAAAATATGAATCAGCAGGATATAATATTATTTTGGATACAAAAAATGCATATTTTAAAAGTTATCTGAGTATTGATTTATCAAAATAAAATTGGGTAAATAACTAAAATAAAATAAAGAAAGTGTTGTCTGAGCTGCAAAGCATTATTTAATACAAGCTGTAATAAGGAAAAAGTATACAGGGTAACACAAAAGATGTAAAATTAAACTCAAGGATTTAAAACATTAACCAGTTAGGGGACTTTTTGAAATAAGTGATTTTTAAGTCACTTATTTAAGTAGCAAATTGGAAGTTTTGTCACAAATTGTGATTTTGTAGTTTTACCAAAATTTTAAACACATAGGTTTACATAATATCTTTTCATTAGTAAAATTGAAAAAAAATGAACTTTTTGCTTCTTTTAAGCAGCAAGGTTTATGCCTTTGATGCAATCATTTAGCTGCAAATTCTATTTTAGTTGAAAAAATGCTATAAAAATGGCTTTACATAATGAACTGATACTTTCTTAACAGATTTTTCTCAGCAGTGCCACTGTGGGAGTATTTGCCCTGTAAAATTCAAGGTTTCATCTTATAGATTATGTAAAAAAATTCTACTGTTCACGATAAAAATTTCACTGTTCGGGGTGTTGAAATTAGTGGGGGTTATTAAAATAATGATACTTTTTAAAAGAAATGATTTTTTGGAAGGAAATTGAGGTATGATACTTAAACAAGTGATTTTTATGTCATTATCCTAGATTTAGTACAAGGTCATCACCTGACATGACCGGGTCATCCTATCAACACAGATGTTGGTTTTGATAAATTTAGCAACATAATTAGCCCCTGGATCAATAGTATTCTATATTTAAAGCTACAATAAAATTAAATCACTTAGGCTAGTGATTAATTTGTACTACATGTACTTAAATAGGTGATTATTAAAGAAAAACAACTCTTACTTCCAACCTTTATGGTCATAATGTTACTTGAATCAGTGATTTAGAAAAGCGCTCATTTAAGTAAGTCCCCTGACTGTTAACAGGGAGGGTTAAGCCTTGGAACAGTATATATATCATCCTGATTAACCTTAGGACAAAGACTCTACATTTACATCACAAAGGTTTATTCATTATATGCACTTGACAAAGGGAAGGTCAATAGTATCTATATAGTAACAGTGCATTTATTTATTTAATTATTTTTTTCATTCTTTAAACTTTTCTCTGTAGTATCAATTTATTTCATATTAACATGAACAAAAGCAATAACCTGTTGTGTTTTAGAGAGGAATAACTATGTCCATGATGTCTGACTTTAAAGAATTGATGAAATAAAGTATGGTGTGAGCCTCAATAAGACAGTAACCCTTCAATGAAAGTACACAGTCACACATAAAAAATCATTAATGTAGAAAAAAGACCATACATAGAATTTAGACCCACTGAAAAGATTTATTCTTCTTGTTTAAAATTGGGACTTAAAAATATAATTGTATAAGTCCTAGAAATTTTTTCGTCAATCAAACGAGGATTGCTAGTTTTCATCTAGGTAGATACAGTTATTGTAATTGACTTTCTTCTAAGTACGTACAATGTATATAGTATTATGTTAGCTAAAATTTTACTGTACTTTAGTCTCAATGTATATTTTTTTTTGTAGATTCATATTGGCTTGAGCATGATTCCCACTTAGAATATGAAGCCTGCTACATGTGCACTTTGATGCATAGGAAATATAGATGTCACTGAGTCACTCTTATAGCTGCAAATTGTGAAACAGTGGATTAATTCATTATTTTGTGCTAGTTATTTATTGTTTTTGGAAATAATGAATAGCACTTGCAGCATTATTCCATGATGATGATGACTTGTGATGTTAGGATTAAATTGGACAAGAAAAAAAATTGTGCATTGTACAAATAAGAAACTTACAAATTGTATTAAAGGAGGACCACAGTACTGGATGACTAAATAACTTGGATAATCATGATAATTATTCATTTGGTATATCAATAATGAATTTGGAATAACAAGATTTCATAGTTTCAGTGCATATTAATAGTGCAATCATACATTGTATCTGAATTCCATGAATACTTTGGATAATTATTCATTTGAAATAGCCATTTGGAATAATGAAAATTCCTAGTTTCAGTGAATATTAATAATAATAGTGCATAATATCTGAATTCATGAATACTTTAGTGGATAATCAGTCATTTTAATATAATAACAATTTGGATATAATGTGAATTTCTAGTTTCAGTGAAATTTACAACACAGTGCATGTATAAATCGCATCCGAAGTTTATGTTGGCATTGCAATTGTTAACTACCACCAGGGTGTGTAAAAAGACCTTAACCACCCATGAGGGTCTCTCGTAGTCGGTCACAGTTGTTAAGTGTCAAATGACTGCTTGCTGTACTTAAAGTCTGAATTAGAATTAAATAAAAATCTAAATTAGTGCCCAAGCATATTAAACAAATAAACCATGTACTTCAAAGTATAATTTTATAGTCCCGCCTACAACAAAAGTTGATGTATGCAAGAAATAGGTATTACAATCTGGCAGCGGCTACAGCCAGTCAGGGGTACTACTTGTACAAGTAATTTTTATTTACTTGAAGAAGTAATATTAATATACTTATATAAGTAAATTTGTATTTTATTTACTTGTATAGGTAAAAAAAAAATTGCCTTAGTTATGTCCCTTAGACATTCAGATTTTTTTACTTATATAAGTGAAAAAGTCATCCTATCTTCTTTTCTTGAATTCTTAGGACTTCTTTGCTCTAATAGAATTTTAAATTGTCTGTCTTTTGCAGATGTCTTAACTAATCATTTAAGTGTAATTTCATGAACAATGAAAATCTCATTTGTCTGTTATCTTCAGAACACTGCTCATTTACAACCCCCCAAGGAGCAATTTTTGAAGGACTTGCGCAAATACTTAAGATCTTTGTGCAATCAGTTTCTTTGTTGAATTAATGAGATGAAACATTGAGCTCTAATAAGAAATTATGTGCTATCCTGGGAAAAATCATTAAAGGCATGTTTTTACATCTCAAACTTGAGAATTTTTGTGGGGTTGTAAAAAAAAATTACTTATACAAGTGAATTTTTGAGAAAATTAAGGGGAGATTATTCAAACATTATAGTTAACTTATATCATGTATAGAAGTATATTTTTTTTACCTCTTCAAGTAAATAAAGATTACTTGTACAAGTAGTATCCCTGACTGACAACGTAACCTATTTGTATAAAGCTTCACTAGGTACATTTTTGAAGCTTAAAGACCTGGATACTTCTTTATGTTATGAAGTTTCTGTTAGTAACTTGTTCATTGCACTTTACCTTGTTTTCATGGTTCACTGACTGTTTGAAAAAAAATATTACTGTTTGAACAGTCATACAGTGAAATACTCTCTTACATGTATAACATGTACATGTATAATGAGTAATTGGATAAATTTATATGGTATATATATATAGGTATCTTGAAAGGTCTACATGTCTCATTGTCTGTCAGGCAGGGTTAACCTGACCTTGACTTCATTTCATGGATCAGTGATTAAGGTTATTTCAGTTACTTTGTCAAGTTTGTTTCTCAGAGGAATAATAGGTCAACTATATTTGGTGTATGAAATGATTGTAAGGTGAATATATCTGACTGCAAGACCTGCATCAGACTTTGACCTCAATCAAAATGTCATGGTTCATTGAACAATTTAGTTTTTGTGGTTTGGTCTATTTCCCAATGTTTCTCAGATGCTATAAACTACATGTACATGTACATGCATGACATGTATAGGATCACTATTTTTGGCGTATTGGATATCTTCGTAAGTTGTACAAGTTTGATTGGGAGGTTTTAAATCTGACCATGACCTCATTTTCATGTTTCATTGGGCAATGTTTAGTTTTCATGGTTTGGATGTTGTCTATTTCACAGATACTATAAACCACTAAATTTTGGGTATGGAATGTCAGTTTGTAGGGTGTACATCATCTGTTTGGCATGGTTAATTTGACCATGACTTCATTTTCAAAGGTAATTGATAATGGAAAGTTTATGTGATACTTGTACATGTAGTAAAACCTTCATATATACATGTATTACATTTTTTACATTCAACATAAATTCAATTTTACATGTAGGCAAAGCAAACTTGATATTTCAGCGTGTGCACAGTCACTCTTGTTACATCACCATTGATCATGTCTACCATGTTGATTATAGCTGCTTTTTGTTAACAAAAGTCGGACAAGTATTAACAATTGTTATAATTCATTTGATGATATTGTAGTCTTGTATAACATGTACAATGTCATGAATGTACAATAACAAAAATTAAGGAGATGTGGTATGATTTTCAATGAGACAACCATCAACCGTAGACCAAGTGATGTAATTGTTAGTAACTGCACATCCTTCAACAATGAGCAAAATCAGTACCACATAATCATGATAATGAAAAACCTATAACAGGCCTAGCCATATTGAATGATGTTACACAATGTAAACAAGTTGAGATGAGAAACCCAAGTTTGATTTATATACAAAAGCAACAAACAATCTGTTGGCGATAAAATTGGGTCAGTTAATAGATATAAGAAGATGTGGTATGATTGCCAATGAGACAACTTTGCATCCAAGTCAAAAATTTTGAAAAAGTAAACCATTATAGGTCAAAGTACAGTCTTCAACACAGAGCCTTGGCTCACACCGAACAGCAAGTTATATAGGGCCTCAAAATTACAGTTAAGCATGTTTAGAATTTGAAAAAATAGTTCCTGGATGATCATTTCTGATGTCTCCCATTTTTATCATGTTAACAGACCCATTGAAACATGAGTGATGACAAATGTATCATGGTTTACCAAAGGCTTATCATGCTTATAGGTGATCCAATATTAACAGGCTTCTGCCCTTATTCATGTTTTTCTACAAATCCATTATATCTGCTTTTGAATAAATGCCTTCTAAATATATATCCCAAGATGTTTAGCAACATTTTCAATATACACAATAAGCATTACAAAGGCATACATGTATTATGCACTATTGGTGAGCTGTTTGTTATAATTTACATATACATTATACATACATTGACATATATATATAGCATGGTGTGAAAAGCCTATGCAATACAAACATGACAAATAGACTAAAACATATGATAATAAATTGGTGAAATTGAGTAAACTGCTACTATATGACATCAACCCAACAACAACTAAATAACAATCTAGAGGTCAACATATATCTATACGTCTAAACACGTGAAAACTTTACGACAGATTCATCCATTGGAGAACAAGTGATCATTGATGGTGATACACGGCTGAAATCATAATTGCTCAAAATATCGACACAACAATGTTAAATAGAACTGCATTTTTTTTAATAAGATCATTATTTGATTAATAAAATGATGTGGTACTTGTTTACAAATTAGACAATTTTTCACCTAAAATCCAATGACATAGAAGTTAGCAACTGAATTGGCAAATTTGATATGGTCAGAATATTAATTTCCAACATATAGGCAGCCAGATTATATATTTTCACTCAGACCAGGGCCAGAATACTTATTTTCAGTCCATCCTTCTATTAAAGTGAGTCAAAACAATTTGTGTGATTTAATTAATCAATGATTTTTTTTTTCTAAGGGGCGCCCAAATAAGTTCTGCTGGTAATACATATGTACTGTTTTCATCACTGATTGAAGATGAATATAATTAGAATAATGGACCCATTTGGTTTCTTTACTATTTGAATTATATATCAATATTGGACAAGCATTTATATGATTAAATACATTGATTTTAAAAAATGGAAATTGGAAAATATTTTAGATAAATGTTAGCATGGTTAGTACGACATCTGATCAACTGAAACCACAAAGGAGAATCCGATGTCAGTCTGTAGAATTTAACAAGACCGGAGTCTACAGAATACAACAAGTTCTAAACCGTTATGTGAATAAATAAAAGAAGATTTGATTTCCTTGTCTGAAACAATGCGAGTTTTCTTGTAGTGAACATTTCAACTTTCAATGGCGCTAGTTATTTTGTCGGTCTTGTACAGTACGCCCATCTGTTTATAAATACTTTTGGTAAATTGGTTGAGAAAAATCCGGTGAAAATATGAATGATCTCGAGTGATAATATTTTTACCTCAATTAATCATGAATGAATGCCGAAGTGCTATTTATCAAGGACATTTGAACTTCAAATAGACCACTCGTTACAATATACAGTACAAAGTCGAGTCAATATTGAACTATTCAAAAATAAAATACAGTAAAATAAATTAAATTTAGATAGATTTAAGATTATTTTTGTTTTTCCATAGCTGCAAAAGATGCGTTAAATGTTCATCATAGCTTTGATTTTTTTTTATATGTATAGAAATCAAAATGGTTAATACGGCAATATTTATAATTTTGCAAGGAAAAAAATGTAGCCAGAAATAAAAGCTCAAAATAAGTGTGTGAAATAAACCCTCGGGGAAAAAATTAAGCAGTTTAATATGGGGATAAGTTTGACAAGGGTGTATATTCGGAGTTCCCCGCTGTGTTTACAGTATATCGTGTATATTGACCGTTATTATGAAGTAATGTGATTCGTAAAACTACGGGTATTGAAGACAACCTTGTATGCTTGAATGATTTCACACCTAACTAATTTAAAAAAATTAAAAAGTTTTTATTTAGATAATATTGAAATGAAAATTGTCAACTGTTAATACAGTTAAAGATACATTTGGTTAGTTTTAAATGCGAATAAAACCGTCCTGTGTGAAATTGCAGGTATTTAGTGCTGGTTCCGATTTTGTTCGATGAGATGAGAGGCGAGGGAGTGTTAATAATTATATAAATTTAGCTCATTCACTAAATAAGCGGGGAATACCAAAATGTTCAGTGCAAATATTTCAAAATATTTTTTTTTAAATCAATTTCTATCTAAAATTAATGTATTAAATGGGTTTGATAGTTGTGTCTCTTTGTCACAACCTTATATTGCACACGGTAAAATTGTTTTACAAATAATTTAACCTATCCCTGACTGTCAGAAATTTTGTATCCGTGACTTTTAAGTCTTAATGACGATCAATGTTTGGAAGCTGCTACACTTATAAATTAGCTATGACTATGTAATGGTTGTAGCAATCATAATTTTACTGTTACAACCTTTTCAGCGTTTAAACAGTTTATTTATGACTGTTTCAACGTTTTCCGTGTAAGGACAGTTATTAAATAACTGTTACAACTTTCAAATGGTTGCAGCAGTCTTATTATGACTGTGACAACCTTTTAGGCGTTTAATCAGTTTATTTATGACTGTTGCAACGTTTTTCGAGTTGGGACAGATGTAAATCAACTGTTACAACTTTGAAATAGTTGTATCAGTCCTTTAATGACTGTGACAGTTATTTCTAGCGTTGTTGCAGTCGTTTTATGTTTTAGACAAACACTTTTAAAGTTGGGACAGTTACAAAATAACTGCAGCAGTGAAATTTAACAACTGTTACAACTTTAACAAACATTATCAGTCTTAGAACGACTGTTACTGGTATGGACAGTTGTTTTTTTGTCCAGTAGTGTAAACTAAAATACCAGCTGCAAAAACCATTCTCAACTATCAGTACGTTGTTATTTATTTCTAAAAGGATTTCATAATTAATAAAGAGCGCACGATACGCCCGTCGCTTTAACAAGAATAAAATTCCATAACTCCTCAATGTCATATCAGAAATTTATAAAAAAACTAAAGGGAGGTTATCTTAATAGATAAAAAACAGTCACCAAAATTTCATGAAAACTGCTCAAAGAACTTTTGAGTTATTGTCCGAAAACTGGAAAATCCCCCTTTTTTAATAAATAAAACCCTATAACTCAGAAACGTAAAATCTAAAATTTGTAAAAATCGAAAGGGAGCTCACGTCAATAAATATTAACAATTTACCAAAGTTTCATGAAAACTGCTCAAAGCAGTTTTTAAGTTATTGTCCGAAAACTGGATAATCCCCCTTTTTTTAATGAATAAAACCCCATAACTCGGAAACGTAAAATCTAAAATTTATAAAAATCATAAGGGAGCTCACATTAATAGATATAAACAATTCACCAAAGTTTCATGAAAACTGCTCAAAGCATTTTTGAGTTATTGTTTGAAAACTGGAAAATCCCCCTTTTTTAATGAATAAAACCCCATAACTCGGAAACGTAACATCCAAAATTTATAAAAATCGAAAGGGAGCTCACTTAAATATATATTTAAACAATTCATGAAAGTTTCATGCAAATTGGTTAAAGCATTTTCGAGTTATTGTCCGACATGTTGACGACGGACGGACGGACAGACGGACAACGGTATACCATAATACGTCCCGTAAACGGGCGTATAAAAATAATTTACTATAATAACAAAATCATAAATATTTTGAAAATAAATGTTGCAGTAATAAATATAACTATTTGATCAATCTAAGTCAAGTAATTTGAGCATAATTAACATAGAATTATCTGTGACAATTTAGTGCTGTGTTCCAATCAGAGGTTAGTGCCTCTGGAACATTATTGGTATGTTTCAATGACAATTGAGTGCTGTGTAAATGTTCCTCTCTTGTCGTTTGACATTATTTAATCATATCTTTTTAAATGTTTTCATCTCTAATAATTACTATTAATCATGTATAACATTGTACTATTCGATTATTTTTTTTTTCTCATAAAGCATAAACCACAAGTTTAACCTGGATTATTATATATAATCTTGGTTAATTAGTAAGTGTTGTTACAAATTAATATAACATTATCCCTTTTTTTACACAATAATTATAAGAATCTCAACATGAATTTCTTAAAATTGTAACAAATTAAAAATGTTAGAATAGACCATATCATTTATGAGAAAATATTCAACTTTCTAAATTTGACTTACATTTTAAGAGAAAAAGTATTCGTTCTCACTTTTAAATACTCTGTAGAGTATTCATAAACTAGTTTTACATCGTTTAAGATCTAAGGGGGCTGTTCTATTTCCCAATTCCAGTCAGTTGTCGCTTGCTCTTCCTGTCTATTTTCCTGTAAAATTTAGGCATATGTTTGTTGAATTAATTAATAACTTGTTCTTTCAATTATAACGTAAATGTTTACAGCTGTATAGTTGCTTCATATAAAAGAAAGAAGATAGTGTACGATTGCCAGTGAGACAACTCTCCACCACAGTGAAATAACTATAGTTCATCGTACGGCTTTCAACAATGATCGAAACCCATACCGCATAGTTTTGCATAGTAGATGTTGTCTTTATCATTTCCTTTTTCATTGTGAGAAATAAATTCGATAACTAAACTTTTTCAGATTGTCTTAAGAGAAATGGTGGTACTGTAATATATTAGAAGAACAAGAAGAAAAAATTAGCTAGTTTTTTTAATAATTAAAATTCTCACCACTTTGATTCTGTTAAAAACAAACTGTTGTCTAAAAAATGATGAAAGTAAAAGCCCTCTGAGGGTAAATGAAGATAGAACTGAGTGAAAAAGAGAGAAGAAACGATATGGAAATAAATCAAGGAAACAAAACAAGATATATTATGTTAATATTAAGTATTATAAATAGCCATTACTTTTTAAAGTTTTTAAAGTTACATTTGTCACAAAAATATTTTCATATTTCGTTTTGTAGTATTTACTAATAGACATTATATTATAAAAATTATATTCGTATTTTGTTAATTTTTAGCCAACTTCAAGAAAGTTCAATTAGGTCTATATGCAGTGGAACTTTTGCTGAGCTAACAAATTTAAAAGAGATGTAAGTATAGTGTATAAGCATCAATTTAGTGAGCGTCTAGTAATATAAAATTACTGATGTATACTGCACTAACCGTTACGTATGGTACTTTTTTTGTCCATGAAGGTTTATTCAGATTAACATTGACTTCAATGATTATTCAGGTCGACTGGGCTTATTCAGGTGATCGTTGTCTTGGTGACATAGCCAGGTCGATTTCAATTATTCATAGATTTGTTGCCTTATTAGCATATTCAGGTCGACTTGGCTTACTTAGTCTTCGTTAACTTATTTCACATTGTCTTTCAAATTTTCAATGGACAACAGGTGTTTGATGGATTTATTATTAAATTATTATGAGAACGACGTTGCTATAAAGTCATTGCAAGGATAAACTTGTCTGAACGTCGCTATAAGGGCACACTTGTCTAGAATTAGTAAAGGCGGTATGGTTACGACTAGAATATTTAAAGTTATTCTATTAGAATGAAAGTGTTGCTCACAAACGTTTTATTTATTTGGCATCGAGCATACCTTATTAGCCATAATTTATTCATCAGTAATTACAAAAGGTAAAAAAAAATACCGACTTCTTATGATCGCTACACTTACAGCACTTTTCAGTCAATGTTAGAGAAATACTATTTTCTTAATGAATACACATCTTAATACGTGGTGGTTTACTTATATTAAAAGTTTAACAGCTAATTCATTGCAAATATTAACTTAATATCAATTCTCTCTACAAATGTAAAGTTCGGCTTGAGAAAATATATAAAGTATTACCTTCTCAAATGTACCAGTATGCAGAAGTACAAAAAAACTGTTACTATCCAACGTTATTGGTACAATTATAAGAAAATGTTGGAGTTTCCAGAATTATTGTGTTACATTCCCATCATAGATAATGATAGGAAATTACATGTCATGGCTTTTTTCAAAGAAAAGGAGTGGCAGTTAATTTCAACGTATATATGAATCAAAAACTTAGATAATCTTTCCCTACTTATTGCACTTTGTATGATAAAAAGAAACAGCTAACTATTTACAGAAACAGCCATACGATGACCTATAGCTGTTAATTTCTACATGTATGTCATTTGATCTCTGTTTGAGAGTTGTCTCATTGGCAATTATACCATATCTTCTTATTTTCATATTGTTCTTTCTAATTAAGTATGACCATGTGATCAGTTCGGAAAAGAAATTATCCGGCACATTTTTTTAACTATTCATTCTAAGAAAACCCATGGTACGAGATGTTGTGTTGACCATACAAAATTTGACAAATATGCCCAAGTAAGTTACTTATCATCAAAAAAATGAAAACAGTACTTTATAAATTGTATGCGTCCGAAGCGCTTTTTTTAATTGACCTACATCAGAAAGCTCAAAAGCAAATATTTGAAAGCGAAGGATGTATAAGTAAAAAGACACACGAGGAGGTTTATGACAATTAAGTACGGACTTTAAAACAATGTCAAATTCATCTAAAATTTTGCCTCAGAAAGTTGGCACCTTAGTTTCTTAAAATGTTTTTAATCCACAAAGGAAGATTCAAGAAAGTTATGTTATAGGTCATGTCAATACCAAAGCACTAATTGTTTAGCTGGTAATTCATCAGGGACTAATAGTTCACCAGCAGCGGTATAGACCAGTGCTATCACGAATATAAATAACAGTTTGTTTTATGCGTCAGTAGAACTATCCTTGGTTTACCTTGTTGTCAAGTTAAATGCTGCCAATCTAATCTTTACAAAATGCTGTAGAGATTTGGAAGATAACGATAACACCATAGAATGCTGTGAGGTACAAAGATTTATCACATGGATACAACAGAATCCGTCAATAAAAGTTTATGGTAAATGTAGACATCAATCTCAGTCAACAGTAATCCAAACATTTACTGTAACCGAGTGTCCTCCTCCAGGTAAGTAATTCTGTAAACTAAAACATGGCAGTATATTTCCCCCCTTGCACGTACTATGTTGGTTGAATTCGGTAAAGTTAATTAGTGATTAGAATATATTTTCAAGATGATGAAAGACTCCTATTTTTCTTTTAATCACGAACAAGTTACTTTTCATCTGTGTTCGATTCACCGTCTGAAAAAAAATATAAAATTGATATGTGTCTTCAAGAAATTCAAACAAGTTTGATATGTAATTTCTTGCATGAAGCTTTTGTTATAGTTATTGACGATTCACCTGCACGGATGATTTGCAAATGAAGATTTTAAATTGCTCATGTTTCTGACATAAGACAAACAAAATAGTTCTCTGTAGCAAGGTTAACAACTGGTAAATGTAGTGGTTGTGTTGAGTCCCTTTTGACCTTGATGCTTCTAAATGGTTAAGTATGCGAATCCCGTGGGCCAAAAATTGTGGTCAAGAGAGTACAACAGTCCTTGTATACTGGATTAACCTCCAACATTGTATGTTTCTTCTAGTAATTTGATAACAAGTTCTAGTAATAATAGTAATTTAATAACTATTACTTAAATGAACAATTGTCGGTTGAGAGTACTGGATGAAGAGTATCCTAGAAAAATGCATCTTGCACATTTTTAAAAATCGATATGATGTATTTATAGTACATCATTTAAGTCGAATGTTGACTTTTAGATCCCTCAGGTACCCGCTCAAATGTAACATTTTGTTGTAAAATAATTATTTTATTTAGTATGTAATTGTACTAACGTTAAGGCTGAAACTCCCGAGACAAAATTGACCTTGGATGAATTTGGTTGTCCTTTTTTTACATAACTTTATTTATTCATTTCATATTTTTGTGGATCGGAGTTTATTTGCCGAAATGTTTCTTGTAATTTGTCAGAGATCTTACTTGATAAAATGACTGATTAGGGCTATTTAGGCAAACTAGAAACAGATCAATATAATGGCACTTGACCAGTCTTATTTGAGAAAATACCTGAAGAGCTTATATCATATGTTAATATTATTCGTGTCAATGTATTGTATAGTTTATGGTTGTTGGACTTATTTTGGACCATGGGGAGTTTGTTCTAAAACATGTGGTGGAGGACAACAGTCCAGAACTAGAACATGCACTAATCCTCCTCCAGCTCATGGTGGTGACGAATGTCAGGGAAGTTATCAGCAGATTAAATCTTGTCAGGAACAAAACTGTCCAGGTATGAATTAATATAAGCAGCTGAAGTGTAAATCCAATGTACTAATGTTACGTGTTATATATAATATTTTCAAGGGATGGAACGCCTAATCGATGATTCAGCTAGATTTTCAAAGATTCGGGTCAACTTTCAATTTAATGAAAAATTATTCGATACATTTTTTAACAAGTTAAGTAAAAATGTTAAATTCCTTCAGAACGTTTATCATATTTAGAGAGAAAGGTGGAAAATGCCCTGTCATCGGTTCTTATTTACTGCGAACAAATCCATGCAGAACAATTTGCTTGTAAAATCACTGGGATTTGTTTTTGTTTTAGTTTTGTTTTTATTGTTTTGTTTTGTTTTGTGTTGTTTTGTTTTGTTTTGTTTTTTGTTTTGTTTTTTTATTGTTTGGGGAGGGGGAAGGGGAGGCTTTGAGGGTATAGTTAGAGGTCGAAAAATGTATACAACAGGTACAAGACAAAATTTTGTAGGCTTTTTACTATTATTATAATAATGGTTTTGTTCATGATGTACAGCCAGTCCGTGCAATTTTCTTTACAAAAATGAGTTGAGATATATTTCCACGTACCTTAGTGTCATCCAATGTGAATTGAAATAGACATCGTTTTACATTTGTCATTTCGGAGCCTTTTATAGCTGACTATACGGTATGGCCTTTGCTCATTGTTGAAGGCCGTACGGTGACATATAGTTGGTAATTTCTGTGTCATTTGATCTCTTGTGGAGAGTTTTCTCATTGGCAATCATACCACATCTTCTTATTTTTATATCGTGTATACTCCAGTAAAGTAGCAACCCAACAGTATTTAGCACAAAATGTATCTCAAGATAACAATACTGTCTTAATCAGTTGACATTGTCTTTCATTGCGTAGGCGCAATAAGACCAATTTTAGATAAGTACTTGTAGTTCATCAAATTTATAAGTAAGTAAAAAAGTACATCAACAAAATATTTAAAAAATAAATTCTAGTTCTAGACAACCGCTACTTATGTACCTTACTTAACACAGATACAACAAAATAGTTGACTGAATTAAAGTATTTTTTTAGATTTTTCTTTGGGTTAAGATTATTTTAAGCTTAGGCAATATGAACTCTTATAACAGACGGACTTTTAGTTATAATTATGAATAAAAGGAAAGTAAGGGAATACGTCAATGAGACGGCAAATTAACGACTCAAACAACCAAATACCATCTACGTTAATGAGACGTCAAAGTAACGACTCGAACAACCAAATACCATCTACGTTAATGAGACGGCAAATCAACGACTCGAACAACCAAATACCATCTAGAAGTGTAGTAGTATATCTTGCTTTGGATACGAGATTTTCATCAACAAACCAAAAAGTTAGAAAAAGTCAAATCCGCGACCATAGAAAACCTTTTTATGTCCGGTAAAATATGAACTCTATTAGAACTTCTACACATAAAAAACTGTCATATGTTGCAGTCAATCCTCATCTCCTGATGTATATACAGTATATATTATTTAATAAGTTTGATTTATTTGTATCTTTGATGAATCTATATTAATCTCATCATGGGATTGTAACTACAGGTACACGAGAATGGGGGTAAGTTACTATTCAAATTATATTCCAAGCTGTTTAACTTCATTTTATCAATAAGTTTGGCATCTTCTGATATCGGACAATATTGTCTTCTACAAACCAGATATGTATGTCTCTTTCTGTTCTGTTTGTATGCATGTGCGCGTGTGTCATTCAATATTTTTACCGTCATACAATTCATTTCAAGTATTTTAAGAAGTTGACCAATATTAGTTCAGACATAATGGTCAAAGATAAATGACCAAATACAGTAGGGAAATATTTGGAGGGTAAAGCCTTTGAATGGAATGAGATCCAGTGAAACGTTAAAGTATAACAACATCAGTATTAATAAATATGATTGTATTTAGATTGAGTGTATAATAAAGATATGATATGTTACTGAATGGATATCTGAAACCATCCTTATTTCGTGTTTTTTTTTCCGAATGTGTTCTTACCAGTTATGAACACAAACAATGCATAATTGAACACACTGCCTGTCTCTTCAAAGCCTTTCGATGGACAAAATGTGGTTCTCTGTTTAAACAAAGAATGAAAGGATACATCCCGTAAAGGCTGCGCCGTCTATTGATCTATAGCCCTTCGCGTGTTTAGTTTTTATAACATATTTGGCTTTAAAACGTTTGGGATTGAGCGTTCCTGAGGAAGTAAATTCAGAAAAGCTCTCTAGACGCACGAAATTTAAAAAAGTGTTATTTTCATTTATTGAACTCATTTTTCATCAATTGTCTACCATTTTTCTCTACTGACTCCTTTTGAGTAAAAGGTAAACCTCTGATAAGGTTATCGATTCTAGACAAAATTTAGTGAATTGACTAACTGTCTTCCGTACTTCCATCGGATCTCGGCTGGCTATGTCTTAGTAAGAATCGGAAAACATTGATACCGTTAACCAAAGTCGATATCAGTGGGTGTTCATTTTAAGCATTTAAATAACCCGACTTCGAACTAGGTGTTACTGAGGTTCTTATTATTTTTTTTTGTTCTTCTGTGTACTGTTTTACCAACTGAAGTTTGTCTTGTGAAGTTTTTCTTTTTATCGTGATGTTGTTTTCCATTCCCTCTTTTAAATTTATTGAAGTATCAATTGCTGTTTGGTAACGGTAGGTTTTTCCAAATGGGTCGATCCGAATAAAGTGTGGTACATTCGCCTGCTAATTGTTGAAAAAATAGTGAAAATTTTCATATTACAGACTAATCCCTTTAGGGATTTAGAGTCCAAAGCGATTTCACCGATTTGGATGCCAACCGAATTAAAACCCGTTAAACTGGATTTGGGAAAAGTTAACGATCGCACGTAGAAACGGCGCATTTAACACCTACACCACCATTCCTTAAACAGTAGACGCTGAAATTCAGGCAGATTTTTCCTTTCGGTATTTGTTAAAAATTGAAAATATCTTATCCTTAACGTTCATTATAATTTTTTTTTTTTTTTGGTAAATACAGGAAATATAGTATCGCTTCGAAATCTGCTTTATTTTTTTTTTTGTCTTTGACAAGAAGCGTTTTTCTCATTTGCACATGAAAACAAGATGGAAAAATCATAAAGAAATTCTGCTTCCAATAGTGCTTGTCAAAACCAGAACATTGATTTGGTTAAAATATGACGTAAAATGTTTTGTTGTTCACAGTACTGACATAAGCGCTTATACAGTAAGCTGATCAATTAAGCGTAATGTAAAGATTAAGTATCAAGTGACAACAACTTCACCATAATTGTCCACGAATTAACTATGCTTTGTCTACCTTCTTAAATATCAAACTTTATGCAAGTAGTTTAAGCCGTTGTCGCCGGCTAAGCATATCCAGTGTCTCACATTCTGAGATTTCTTCGCAGTCTGGACAAAGATATTTAGTGATCAACGTTAGTCTTTAACAAAAGACAATTATTTATCGCGAGTATATAAAAGTTGTGAATGTATTTTATTGAGACTATCAAAGATATGTATAGATTGGATAATACCTAGCCATGTTCATAAAACATGACCAAGTATTGTCTGACCAATTTAGAACATATTCGCAGCTTCGAATGACAGTACAAAATAAGCCTCCCGTTGTAATAATCAATCCTTAATATGAACTCACTTAAGTGTTAACATGGTAGATGGAATGAAATAGTAATGAGATAGTTTTGTTTAAAAAGGATAAATTATTAAAAAACGGAGATTTCTTCCGCTTCAGGTAAAAGTAATGCTCATACATCTAAAATTCCTTCATTTTAAAAAGAACACAATGTTATATAAATCAGTTTTTCTAGAATTGCTTAATTTTTGATAAGTCAAAACTCATCAATACATTTTAAAACTGACGATCGTTTCAACATCAGTAGCTTACTTTTTTGTAAGTATATTTTTCTTAAAAAGAACCCATTGATTTTAAGGTCTCGTATACAAATTAGATTAAATATCATTTTACCTAAACCTTTGCCCCCCTTTTTTTTGTTTTTGTTCTTAAATGTACAATTATTTAAAGTTTACAACATTAAAATCTCAACTTAGCATGCTTTTATAGTTCTATTCTCCTGTTTTCATTTAATATATTCAGACAAACAACAGTACTCGTGTTATTTCCTTTGCTCTTTTTTTATGGAAATTGCCTCAGGGGATTGTACACTTCGTTTGTGCAGTTTTAAGAGTTCACTTTCGTAATTAATCTATTCATGTATAGCATTTTAAAGTGCATGGAAAGCCATGTACTATGAAAAATAGAAGGCAAAATACTGATTTTCCATTGGGCGAGAATGGGTGAGTATGTTCTAAGTCATCAACACGAATTCTCTACATACACCCCCAAATGGACAATTACGTTAAAGTATAACTTAAGACAATCACTGATGACGTTGTTCTAACCTTAGTCAGGAACATTTAGCAGGGTTAAGTAAGAATTTAGGTCAGATCTTGACCCTTTTAATCGAGATCAATGGAAGAGGGTCAGAATGAGGTCTTTTCCATTCGTTATAATTTTTGCCCATCATTCTCCATTTTCTATATTTTGCACCCATTATTTTCTATTCTCTTAATTTCAGCACCCCATTATTCTCTATTTTATAAACCCCATTCAGACCCCATAACAACAGGTACATAGATGTAGTAAATATAATTGTGTTCTTACAAATTCAAAAGTGTTCTCTCTCTTTTTAGAAACAAAGGAAAAGGAAAGTGGTACAATCGTCTTTTCAATTTCTTCAAACAAAGATGGTAGAAAGCGGCATTATCTCATTTCAATGGTAGAAAAAAAAGAGCATTGTTGGACATATAACATGTTTCCTTTGTGCTATTTATTGCGGGAATGTTCATTAAGTTGCCTTACATTAACACATATATTGTGGATCATATAGAAAAGCAAATATTGTTATTTTTTTTTATTTAGGAGAGCATTCATGGTCTTTTTAATTTTGAAAAGCATTCTGATTGGGATTTTTTTTATTTAGGGGACGCATTATTGGCCTTTATTTGGGGAAAGCATTCAGGGCCTTTTATATTGTATGTATTTTCACAAAGTTTTTTTGTTTTACTTTCACACAAGCATTTGGGTATTACATGTATTTAGGAAAGCATTCGTGGTGATTGTCTATTATTTAAGATGAAATTGTTATCTTTTGTTTAAAAGCATTCATAGTCTTAGTTCATTTAGGAAAACATGCATGGTCTTTTTATTTACGACAGCATTTATGGTCGTTTTCATTTACAAAAGAAATCATTGTCTTCGAGTATGTCACAAGTCATTTGTAATTTTAAAATATATTTGAATCCTTTTTTCAAATACAAATGTATACAAAGTTTACGAAATTAAAAAAATGTTTCAGATCGTCATTAATAACAACTGTTTTGATGCATAATTGTGAGACATTATTCTGTGTTTATAATTGTATATAGAGGGAAACTGTTGGATTATTGCAAATCACACATTTGTAGTATCTTAGTTAACTTTTTTTTGTTATTATTATTATTATTATTATTACTATTATTATTATTATAGTATTGGCATAAGAGCTCGTACTTTGGAATGATCGATCAAGTTTGTTTTGAAAATATATTGTGTACCTGAATTTAATGTCGGAATTTGAAAGTTTATCAATGTTATTATACCTCCTTTCTATAACTGTAACACGAAAACAGGTTTATCACGTTGCTGTTTCTAAAAATTGTGAAAGGGTTAAAAAAAAAACAAGGCTTTTTGAAATCATTATAATGATATTTTTGTAACCGTCTTTTTCACCCAGCATTAAAATATTTTGGCCTTCTTTATATGATTGATTTTGAATTTGTCAGACATACCTGCACATTTAAATGAATACTGGAAGCAAAATCCCTGAAATCCACATTTTATGACGGAATGAAAAATTGCTGCACTATTGTTCAGCCACTTTGATACACAAATTGTACTATGTTTCATTTTTTTTCGTTTTTTCACCACATGAGTACTAGTGAAACAAATGGGGTGAAAAAAGAGAACAAGTGTAAATCTACATAGAAAAATGTCACGTGATACGATTTTTTCCAATTCCACATTGAAACAACAGTATCTTGGAAACGTTTGCGATAACTTGGTTAGTCTTGAAAATGTAAGATTTTTTAACATATTTTCTTATGTGGTATATCTTGATTCTGTTTTTCTTTTGTCATCTTGAATTTGGAATATTTGTTCACTGTAGTCGCTTTATTTTTTTTATAATAAAATTTGGGTGAAAAAATCAATTATACCTTGAAGTTTTCGATGTTTAGCTTACCGTTGATACCAATCGTTATCGTGGTATAAACATGCCTTCTCTTATAGAGAGAACAGATGTGGTATTAATGCCAATGACACGACTATTAATAAATGTTTTCAGACCAAAGGACAAAAATGTGAACAATTAAAGGTCACGTACGATCTTCAAAAATGAGCAAAACTCATACCGTGTCGTTGTCAACGTATATTTGTTCCGCCTAACAGAAGTTCCACTGGAAACTTTGTTATAAACAATGTCATAATATCTGTTCCTGTTGGAACAATTA